ACAGCTTTTCCCATGCAAAACCATGAACTACCAGCATTCATTTTCAGACTTCAACTCCTCCTTCCTTTTCTTCCTCTCCCCCTCAGCCTGTTCCCCCTGGCTGAAAGCCTTCCTTTGGTTCCCCGGCTTCATTCCTACACAGACCAGGTAGTCTCCAAGCACATTCCCTTAGAGAAAATTCTTGAAATATGTCCACAAATCCCCTTTGGGGTGACAAGAGCTCCGTGCTTTCATGGTGACAACCTGAGTTATATTCCTGGAAAGAATGCATCTAGCAGAACCCACCACCTCACTGCAAGATACCAAATAAACCTGGAAGATAAGTAAAAGCAGTGTGCTTGCTACACAAGTATGCCTTCCAGCCAGAATGCTGTCCCTCAGCTTCTCCCAGATACAAGGTCTGAAGCTGCCAAACTTACACACAATGAATGGTGTATATATGCAGAAGAAGTATGGATCACTCTGCCCTTCAAAGAAGTCTCTGGAGCCTGGAAAATAAAAATAGCAGTTGTCTGACATTTCCTTTGAGAGGCAGATGAAATGTAAGGTTTTCCTCTTACCATAAACATGAACACAAAATTTTGCAAATGATTTCAGGAGGCTCCTGGACCTCTGAAACACATTGACAGTGGTCCTGGGGGGTCCAGAGAGGCCAAGATAGACTCCCTTGTGCTGATGGGGAAGGGCCATGGAAGGAATGGCACCAGGGTTTTAAAATACCCAAGCTCAGTTGGGCCAAGTGTAAAAAGAAATAGTTTGTTTTCCATTCTCTTTCCCTCCTTCCACCATCTCCTTTTTTTCCTCCCTTCTCAAGAATAAATCCTATATCTTAGTCTTGATCTTTACCTGGATGTAACTAGTCGCTGTTGAGGCTTAAATGTGACCACTTCCAAACAAAATACAGTCAGTTCTGCTATAACGTGACACATACTTTCCTAAAAATCATTGTGCTATACAACATTGCACAACAACAACCACAGAGCTTATGGGGAAAATGAGATTAGGCGCCCCATACTCAAAACATGTTGTCAGAGACACTTAAAAAAGATGATAGGAACCTAATAAAAAATATAGCAGTTTTGCACGTTAGTTAAGAAATAACATAGATGCTACTATAAACATGGCACTTTACCTAGAAAAAGACCTGAAGTTTGTTCGCAGAGGTGAGTGTTGCAGCTTGTGAGCTATTAAAAAATGGCAACAGAGGGTTTTCGAGGACAGAACCTTGTAACCCCAGATGAGTATGGCTCATCATACACCTGGTGAATGGAGGCAGCCGGAGGGTGTTTGAGGCATGTGTGCACTTTGTGCATTCCTATACAGCTCAGTTCAGCTGGAGGCAGTTTCCTGCATTCACTTAGCATTTCTGGTAGAGGAAATCACATGTAGGCAAACACAAAATTCTTGTTATACTCAAATTGTTCCCTGGTATATTTATTTATTTATTTTTTTAAAGATTTTTATTTATTGAGAGAGAGAGAGAATGGTAGAGAGAGAGCATGAGAGGGAAGAAGGTCAGAGGGAGAAGCCGACTCCCTGCTGAGCAGGGAGCCCGATGCGGGACTCGATCCCGGGACTCCAGGATCATGACCTGAGCCGAAGGCAGTCGCCGAACCGACTGAGCCACCCAGGCACCCTGTTCCCTGGTATATTTAATCAATGGAATAAATTCTCATTTTCAACATGAGCATGATAGCAGGACTGACTAAATCTAGATTATAAAAATGATTATAACTTAGAGCCCCCAATTAAGACCCCAATGGAATGATGCCATAAAGGTAGCAATAAGGTTATCTCGAAGCAGATAAAATGTAACTCAGTTAAATCTGAGCTTCCTTACTCCCACCCTAAATTCCATCTCAACTAGTGATATATTCAAGTGAAATGCAAATTTGGCTCCATAACTTTGAAACATACTGCCCATCCTGAGCAAAGCCTTCTTGGTGCTAGGAAGAACTTGTAACAATAAGCACCAGACTTCCTGGAAAATCCTCATTATACATTAATATCCTTATCATCCCACACCACGTGGCAGCCAACACTAATCTTACTTCCCTCCTCTCCACCATTCCTTCTCCCTTTTATATGCACCCTCCAAAAGCCCAACAAACAAAATTCCAGACTTTATGGGTTTTCGCATTACCCCCTCCTCTCTTTCCCACCTTTTTCCAAGAGTAAAAACTCCATACATAGGTGTATTTTTTTTTTTTTGGTCTTATGTGCTTTCTTTAATTTTATTATGTATGTTAATCACCATACATTACATCATTAGTTTTTGATGTAGTGTTCCATGATTCATTGTTTGCGTATAACACCCAGTGCTCCATGCAGTACGTGCCCTCCTTAATACCCATCACCAGGCTAACCCATCCCCCAACCCCCCTCCCTCTAGAACCCTCAGTTTGTTTCTCAGAGTCCATAGTCTCTCATGGTTCGTCTCCCCAACCGATTTCCCCCCCATGTATTTCTTTTCTATTGCTGCTGTAACAAATTACCACAGAATCAGTGGCTTAAAACAACACAAATTTATTACTTCACAGTTCCGGAGGTCTGAAGTCTAAAATGGAGCTTTGGGGGGCTAAAGTCAAGGTGTTGGCAGGACTGCACTCCTGGAGGCTCCAGGGGAGAATTTGTTCCTTGCCTTTCCCAGCTTCTAGAGGCTGCCTGTATTCCCTGGCTTCTGGCCCCCTATAACTCCGACCTCTGCTTCTGTTCTCACATCTCTGACTCTGACACTCCTGCCTTCCTCTTATAAGGAACCCCGTGATTATACTGGGCACACCTGGGTAATCTGGGCTACTCTCACATCTCAAGACCCTTAATTTATCACATCTGCATCGACTATCCTTTTGTTACTTGTGAAGGTAGCATATTCACAGTTTCCAGGGATTAGCCTACCACACCAGCAGTGATACTCAAAATGCTTTACAACTGATACGCCACTTAAGGCAGGGTGTCTGATTCGCAGAAAGGTCTTGTCATAATGCTGAAGCAGGACCCTGGAGATCCTGACACACTGGTTGACGGACAGTGGTGAGGGCTGGGAGGTCTCAGAGAAGGACTGGGATGCGTAGGACTTTGGTGAGGTACTCCGGGGCTTTGAGGAGTGGTTCTCTCTAAGCAGTATGAAAGACTTTTGATCTTTTTACAATCAGCACAGCCGTACCTGTGTGTTTTGGCTGACCACTGACCTGCCATGCTCTTCCTTATCCATCATCAACACACAAATTTTCTGGGATTTTATCATGTGCGGTATTCAGCCCTATTACTTGGAATGTCTACTTAAGCCTCACCGCAACCCTATGATTAGATCTGTACTTATATCCCGTTTGTGTTAACATATACCTGGGGTCAGATGTGCTATTAATTGCTAAGCCCTGGATCTGAATTTAAGCACTTTACTTTAGAAATTGAGCTCTTAACCACTGTGGTTACTGTCTACAAAGAGACTCACGTCTCTTTAGGCAGATAAGGAAAGCATGTACAAAGACTATGCAGGCAGTGTCGAGGTGCCAGGTGGCAACCCCTAGTCCACCGTATTTCATAGGTTTACCTAGAACCCTCCCCTATAGAATTTAATGATTATAGGGAGGACCTCTTGATCATACAGTAAGAATTCTTGTCTACTCTGTAAGACCAAACCTGAATAGACTTGAATAAGATATTCTATGATAAAAAAATTATAGTCAAGCAAATCAAGTACATGCAAAGAAAACAATGATCATAAATGACTATGTGTAAAAGTTTAGAAAGTACAAACTCTAATTTATCTTGGGTACATAACAGTCTAGCATAAAGTATGGTTGTAAGCATGCAATGAAATAGGTGAAAAATAAATGAATAAGTATAACCTATAATCAAGAGTCTAATTTGTAAGATCTAATTGCCTGTGGTACAAAACTACATTTAGTTGGAATACTATATTTAACTTTCTCAAGTGGGTAAAGGGGCAGGGACAGAAGAACATCAGAGAGGAAGATGATAAAACCACTTCTGGACTTTGAGTCTTTTATAACCTCTACCTGGTCGTAGTTAGAATAGTGTTGCTCATCCCCAGAGGAATTAATATCTAAAAGAAATAAGTAACACTATCTCCAAAGAAAAAGAATCAATTATGGGTATTTTTGATTTTGCTGTTGAAAAAATTTTTGGTTTGGACAGGAATGAGTACCTTTCGTTCATTTAATTGTTGCATTATATAGAAGAGATGGACATTAGAGGTGTTTTTTTTTGTTTTGTTTTGTTTTTATTTTTTTTAATGAAGGTAGGGTAAGATCCTGATTGGGAGGTGGGATGAAGTTCTTCAGCATCTCTTAGAATCATTTATGATATATGTAAAAACCACATTGTTAAGTAAAACGTTAAAAGCCAAGATTAATGTTCTTTAAAGATGTTCTTGGGAAGAACTGTAAGCAAATTCTACTTTAAACCCTTTAACCTCATTAAAATCCTAAAATATTCTTGCTAGTTTGGAAAATACCCCCGCTATTTAAACTTTCCTAAAATGTAGCTCCCCTCCTACCTTTATGATGGAATACTGGATGATTTCAGTCAAAAGGCATCGTTATTACACTAAGAGTAAGTCCTGGAGGAAAGCAAATGTTGCCACTTTACTCATTATTGAAGTGCCCTTATGACTGTCAGAGGGAACAGGTAAGATGCTAGGGGAGGCAGAGAAAGAGAGATCAAAGTGTTTTTGTTTACTTCTTTGAAGTTTTGTAGTACCTACTGTTTACCATGCACACTTCTTGATTCATGCTGAAAATTGGAATTCACCCATTTCTCTTTTTCCTGTCTAAGATGCAGATGGGGCACATTTCGTTGACTCCATCAATCCCTGCCCCCACGCATTAGCACATGCACACGTATACCTAGCCAGTGGAAAAGAAAAAAGAGTTACTCACATTCATCCATTTTACAAAGATTTCCAGGCTGCAATGGGAGGGCTTTACCTCTCCCTGAAGGATGAATAAATAGGTAGCTTTACTGACAACCTGTTCACAGTCAAACTGCAGTGAAAACTGAGACCAAAGTCTTGCTCTACTGGCACTTATGAGATCTAGTGCTGGCAACATGGAGAAGATAGTCATCTGCCTGATGGTCATCTTCTTGGGGACAGTGGCCCATAAATCAAGCTTCCAAGAGCAAGATCTCCTCTTGATTAGATTGCGTCAACTTATAGGTATTGTTGATCAGCTGAAAAATTATGTGAATGACTTGGTAAGGCCATACTTGTCACAACAAAATTTAAATAATATTCTTCAATTAATAGAAAAGGAACTTTTTGACTTATAAAAATAACCCAGAACTAATTTTCTTTTGCTCTAGGACCCTGAATCTCTGCCAGCTCCAGAAGATGTAAAGGTAAGACCAGTTGAATTTATTTGTGAAAATATATGTGGTACAAGTTTTTAAATCCAACTAAGAAAGGCATTAGCATAATTATTTAGGAATCTACTTAATTTCAATGAGTTTGGGGGTTTAATAGTTGGTAAAAGAGTTATTCCTATTTTGGTCAAACACTCATTGATTTACCAACAAGCCAACCAATAAACACTGCATTACCTTAAAAAATATATTTTTATCTCTAAATATCTCTGAGTACTTCCAAGTAGTATTGTTGCGAGAGAATCACAAAACTATACTATGATCAGTTTCTGAACAATGACCAACTAATTACATTTTAAGAGCCCTTGGCAAACCTAATACAGACCAGAAGAAGCAGAATTCACCTTTTAATGACAAGAAAGAAAGAAAAGAAAGGAAGGAAGAGAAGGAAAGAAAAAAGTAAGAACAGATTACAGGCACAGCATGGACGAAATCAGGGCTGTCCTTTAGAATATAATTCCCATATACCTTGGCCTCAGTGATTCTTGTCTTTGGCCTTTGGAGAGGTCTTTCAAAAGGACTATTTTCACAAACTCATCCCATTCTCTTAAGCCATTCAAATCCATTAGGTCCCAGGAAGAAAACATCTAGGATATAGTTCAAGAGTGCTGCGTGCTGATCTTTTCCTTAGTAACTTCGCTCTAGTCTTCATGTCTGGTACCCTGAAGAGCTAAATGCAATTGGGGAAATATTTTCATTGTCACAGACCTTTAACTGCATAAATTAGAATTACTAATTTATGTGCTACCAGTAATTAGGACACTACAAAGGGGGAGACATATAAAGATACATTGCAAAGAAAACAATTATCGTAAATGACTATGTGTAAAAGTTTAGAAAGTGAATGAGTCACAACTATTGCTTTTCTCTAAAATTCACTCTCTAGCTCTGAACCTAACCACTCTCATTTACTAGGTCCTTTTCTAATAAGCAGCATCTAAAATGAAAGTAGCACATTCAGCTTATTGGGAAGACTTTTCTAATAAGTGAGAATATTTCTTAATCATGACCTAATTATCAAAACATGCATTTTCAGTATCTCACGCATTTTATTTAACTGTTGTGGTTAGAGTCCTTTTGTACCAGCTCTGTCTGTAACTTACAAAATGAGAAATAAGGAAGATTCCCCATTTTCTAACTTGAGTTGATCCAGTGGGTACTTCCTTTGTTAAATATCTATGCTTTGTTGGAGATAGACTTTTTTTTTTTTTTATCTTACATCATAATGAGAAGATTTTGTCTCGGTGACACTGTATCTATCCGACAATCTTATCCAACAATGCTAGTTATGATACAAGTGAGAGATGGTGTAACTAAGATCTTTAAGCTATGCTGACAGGCAAACTTGGGAAGAAAGAAAATAGTTTGAGGCCACGGTAGCTTTCTATCAAGTTTTCCACGGCCAGCATCAAGGCAGGGTCTATAAGAGATTTGAAAAGATTAAAAAGTTTAAGGAAAATAAATTCACTTACATGTTGCATGTAAATCTTGATACATAGTGATTATCTCCGATCCCTAATTGGCCTTGCCAGGCATCATTCTCTTTCTTTCTAATTACATAACCAGTGGTCCTCAACTGGTAATGATTTTGCCCCCTGAGAACATCTGACATTGTCTGAAGAAATTTTTGGTTGTCACAGTTGTGTGTAGGGGAGTGGTTTCTACTGGCATCTAGTAGAGTCCAGAGATGTTACTAAACATTCCAGAATGCACAGGACAGTCCTAACAACAAAGAATTATCTAGCCCAAAATGTCAATAGTGTGTTATTGAGAAACCCTGATATAAGCCTGGCTTGTGTGTGGGACAAAGGTAACCTCACCCAAGACTTCCTAGTGTGAGTGGCCAGGCCTTTCTGTGAGGGGTGTTAAAAAAAGCTATACGGAGGTAAGTATTTTCAAACACTCAATTGCAAAACAACAAAGCCAAATGTGCTCCCTTGCAAAAGCAGCACTTGTCTGTTCTCTTTGTTTGTTACTCTTGCTTTTGACTTCCGTACCCTTCCTCCTATTCTGCAATACTAGTGTGGGACACAAAACTCTTCATGTTATCATGTGTTCAAGGTTGAAGGAATCAAAGCCTTGCCCTCATAGTTTGCTGCCACGGAGGCACAGCAAAGGAAATTTGTTATACTCGCAGATGGTGGTGCTCTGCATGAATTTGGGTTCATCCAGTGACAGGGCACCCGAGGCTGCCTGAAGCAAGATTAATCTCTTCACGCCCCTTCTTGGTTCATCCTTAAGGCAGTTAGCAGGACAGCTCTTCCACTTCTTTTCCTCTTTGAGGCTGCCTTTGATGTGCATCTGAAGCCAAATCCAGCAGCTATTTGTCCTGGACCGCACATCACCAGGGACTGCTCTGCTGCTTGCAGAGAGCACAAAGCAACATACCACTGTTTGCTGACACAGGTGAACAAGGAATGGCAGGAGAGACAGCACAGCCTGTCGATATGGGCATCAGTGTCCAGATGCCATTCAGAGGCTTTCAGGAAAGCTTTCTCAGGTATAAACTCTCTCATCATGGATCTTGACCATTCCTGGCAATATCAAGGGAGTTCATTTTGTAGGGCCCCTATACTTCTTTGGAACATAACTTTCTTTCAACATACACATGTAAATGTTAACTCAGCAAAATGGGCTTCTGTGAGAAATGCTGGTTTCTCAGATCATCACGGATGAAGCAGTTAGTGTTTTCAGTTTCAGCTGGAAAATTTACCTCTTTAAATATGAATATTATTTTTTTCCAGTAAGTTAAGCCGGTTGTGGTCAAAAAGAAGAGAAAAGAAAAAACTTCAACAAACATGAACATGTGGTTTTCAAGGAAAAAAAAGTGCTATAATTAACATTTATAAATAGTTTCTATTAAATAAGCATTTTGGCAAACATATGGAAAGGATATTACCTTGCCCTTATGCGAGAGGCAAGCTGCTCTGATATAAGGAAACCAGATAAGGTGGTTCTCGGCTTGTGGCTATGTATGCAAAGCAAACCTGATGAGGTTGTGTCTTAAAGATGCATGCTATTAATCAACATTCATACTGGGTAAGCATATGGGTTGGAAAATGCAAAGCAGGCCAGATGCTTTTTTCAGCTGATTGTCCATGAGAAGACAGGTAATTTTGTTATATATGGAACTGCCCTTGCAGGGACGGACAGAGATTGAGGTTTCTGGTTACATGGCAGTGACTTCCATACACATTAGTAAAATGAGGCCACAGCAACTAGGGTGGGGTGGGCTAGGGATTGAAGAGCCTAATATAAACACATTTGCTGAAAGAAAAAAGAAATTTGGATACAAGTTCTTAGATCAGCATTAAAATGTTTTCAACAAGTCAGTTTAAAATTTTGTTCTTCCAATAAATTCCATTTTCTTTTTAGTTTGGTTTTTAAGATTTTTGACTTATTCACTACTCACTAGTTATTTGACTAAACCAAGAGACAAGGTTTTGATCCTCGTTCTGTCCACTTCTCCATTCTTTGAGACACTACCCTTAGTTTCTAAGGAACAGTCTTCCCTCCCATTGGTTGGGCAAGTCTCAAATTCTGTTCCTTGACTGCTTGATTCAGGCAGAATCCCACCCTAACTGGTCTAAGAGTGTGAATAGGATTTTAGAAGAGTCATGTGTAATCTATCACAGGTGTATTGAATCTTAGATGTGGAATATGCCATCAGAGGTAGGTAGCCACTTCCTTTTCCCAAAGTAGGGGTTTTGACTCATTTACTTCATTTGTCAACTCCACACCTATTTATTGAGCATTTGCCAGCAAGAAGACATGATGCCAGGTGTTGTACAAGATAAGATGCTGCTCGATGTCACTGTTAGATGCTCCCATGTACACTGTAGAGAGAAACAAACAAAAAAAAAAACAAATAAAAGAGATTGTTAATTGGATTACAGCATACCTCACCCAAAGCTGCAACCAGTCACAGTGTCACTTTTAGAAAATTTGTTCTAAAACCAAGCCCACTCTCCCTCACAAAACACAAAGATCCTGCCTACCACCCAGACTTCAAATGGAATTAGGAATAAAGAGCTGTGGAAAAGTGAGGCTCCTCCCTCTTGCCTATGAGGCAGGGATATGTTCTCTCTTCCCTAATATGGGGTGAAATTTTACATTGCAGGTGCCTTCTCTTCAGCCCAAAGATTAAGTAGGATGTGAACTCATTCCTCACCATCTGCTGAAATAAATGTGATCTAAGACGCCATAACAGAAGTAGAAAAAGAGGATTGGGAAGGTCATTTTTACTTTCTGAACAACTTTTGTTTTGCTAACATCTATACAAATTACTTCTCTTGCAGAGACATTGTGAGCGGTCAGCTTTTTCATGTTTTCAGAAGGCCCAACTAAAGGCAGCAAATACGGGAGGCAATGAACAGATAATCAATGTATTAACTAAACAGCTGAAGAGGAAACTACCTCCCACAAATGCAGGCAGAAGACAGAAACACAGACCAGTAAGACTGTCATTTGTCATCTATCTTATTTGTACTTATTAACTATATCTCTTACATGATATAACACACAAACACACTTGTAGCCAGAGATTCTGGTGCCTTCCTTCCAGGTACATGTTATCATATCCGGTGTATTTTGAGAAATGGAGTCACCTCTTCCAAATCCACAGACTTGAAAGTGCCCAGAAAGTCTGTTTAGAATTTTGCTAAAAGTCCCTGGCAGCTAGAATAAGTTAATATAACTTCCCAAGGTGAAGAATCCAATTGTGACTTAGGAGTTAAATATTTTTCTATCATTTATATGGCCACATGTAACTTGTATTCTTATTAACCGGACCTAGATCCCAGTTTTCCCACAAGAAAAGAGAGCCTACAAAAGACTAAGAAAAATCTCAAACTTTGCCTTCTTCTCTTAAAAAATATTATTGTCCTGTACAATCACAGTCAGTACTACATTTAAATAGATAGACTTCATTATTTGACTGGAGAATTTTAATAGTCCCTGGTTTTAGGAGGTCCTACTAGATATACCCTCTTGTGTATCTCTTCTTACGCCAACTCATAAGCAATGCTGATAGTCTCATGACTAATTCAAGAACTAATCAAAACCAGTGGATAAACACATAAGATAAATTACTCCAAAAATATTTTTTTAATCAGTTCTCTCTCCTCCAAGGAATTTTACATGTGATTCACATGAAATCTTAGTGACATTATCAAAATGACTTTTATTTCCTTTAATTGCTTAGCCAAGTTGCAATGTGAAGAGTATCCCTCTAAAACTTTTCTAGGAAAGGAGCTGAGCCCGCTTTGCAACACAATAGCAAAGACTCATAGAAATGGCAATGCTGGCACTGAGCTTAGAACAATCTCATTAAGCACCTTCATTTGGTAGATGGGAAAATGAGACCTAAAGAGGTTAAGTGACTTGTCCCAAGCCCTGCAATTACTAAGTGGTAGAATGAGAACTAGAACCTTTATCTCCTACCTTTCAGTCAAATGCTCTCACCACAGCATCAAACTGACTTAGAAATGCTGAATACCAAGCAGTGGCCTGGTGTTTGCTCTCAAAAAGAATAAGAATAAAGAAGAAAAACCTAGAATTTTTTTAAAAGAAATATAAGTGGACAATATACAAATGAAAAATTGTTCAGTCTCCCTATAATCAAATAAATGTAAGTTTCAGAAATCTTACTTCTTTCCAATTAAAATTTTTAACAATAGCCAACAATAGTGAGAATGGTCTGCATGAATAGAAGTAAAACTTTTTTACAATATACATCAAGAGACAAAAATTTTTACTCCTTTAATTTAGTAATTCTACTTCTAGAAGTTTATCAAATCAAATAAAGATGCATATAAAAATTATTCAGAAATGTTCTTGCAGCATTGTATTCAATAATGAAAAGTTAGAACAACCTATGTGTCCAAAAATAATAATAGTTTGATCCAATGTTGGAATACAAAGCAACCATTACGTATCACATTTTTGAAGAATATTTAACATGTAGGAAATGCTTGTGATATGTTGAGTGTAAATAGAGCAAATTACCATCCAGTGTAAAAAACATAAATGCAAAGAAAAAACCATTACTGAAAGGATATACATCCAAAGATTTCAGTGGTTATCTCTGAGGATAGGATTACAAGTGATTTTTCCTTTTGTTTCTCCCTGAACAATTTTATGCACGTTTTGAATTTTTTTCAGAGAACATGATATATATTTATAATTGGAAAAAAAATTTTGGGGGTGCCTGGGTGGCTCAGATGGTTAAGCATCTGCCTTCGGCTCAGGTCATGATCCCAGGGTCCTGGGATCGAGCCCTACATCGGGTTCCCTGCTCAGTGGGGAGCCTGCTTCTCCCTCTCTCTCTGCCATCCCCTCCACTTGTACTCTCTGGCTCTACCTCTCTGTCAAATAAAAAAATACAATCTTTAAAAATAAATAAATTTTAACTGAACATTTTATTAAATTAGGAAAAATGTTTTAAAGGAGAATGTTACTCTTTCATTGATTTCTAGACATGCCCCTCATGTGATTCTTATGAGAAAACACCACCCAAAGAATTCCTAGAAAGACTGAAATCACTCATCCAAAGGGTATGTAACTGCAATTATATTTGATTTTCTACTTCATATTTATCTATCCAGATTGCTTCTTGTGTTTATATTACTCATGGTATATTATTCCCACAGATGATTCATCAGCATCTCTCCTAGAACACATGAGATATGAAGGTTCCTGAGGATCTAACTTGAAGCTGGACACTATATTACATACTCTAACACAGTAGTGAAACTCACTTCTTGGTTTCTAAATGGAGGAGTACAACATATTAGTGATGGGGGAAAAGACTCAGATAAGTGTTCAAAGTCAGGATTATTTCCCCCCTATTACAATGCAATACTTAAGTTTGATCACATGCTCTGTTTTAGTCAACTTGAAAAAGCTTTATACTCAATTAGAGTTTGATTTCCTATGTTATGGATTTCTATGGTTTCTAAAGTTTTTACTTTATATCATTTTGCCCAACTATGACATTCCTTTATTGGGGGAGACGCTTAAAATTTTTAACCCAAAACGTAATTTGGGAATTTATTGATCTTATATTTACTTTGATCTTGATTACCACAAGAATGAGATCTCTGATGATCATAACTTAAAAGTTATATACCTTCATTCAAGCTGAGAAATACAGAAGCATAGAATCAAGATGAAAAGTTGGTCTTTATTCTTTTAAGGAAATGAAAATTGAGTGTTTAAAAATGTATATCTGAAGAGTTTACTTTTTATCTCAGAATGTCTAATGTATAAATATATAGTTTATTTATGTGCCAGGGGATAGTTTTACTAGATGGCTACAAAAAAGTCTTATTCCTTTATTGGGATTTATCAAAAATATTTAAATGCTATAGATAAGAATGTATTTATGGAATACACTCGTTAGTCTTTTTTTTTTTCTTTAAGTGGGTTTAATAGTAACTTTCCCAGTTCAAGTCCCCTTATAAGCTAACATTTTAAGCTTGTGGAAATGGCAATTAAAACCTATAGAGGGACATACATCAGGTGGTCTTCTGGAACCAAATACATTAAAAAAAATCTTGTAGCTCTCATCTCAAATTGTTATAATGATTATATGGGAGTGAGCTAGTAACTCCAAATGTCTGTCACCTTTCATTCTTCCTTTCTTTTCTTTCTTCTTTTTAAAGTGACAGACACCTTGTGCTTGCATGCTTTGCATAAGACAAATTCAATCACCTATATAAGATCAAAATCAGGAGACATATCAAGAGGCCAAGACTCCTGTCCTCATAGAAAACAGACTTTTGCATAAACATTCCAATCTTTTCAACCATGGATAGTAAAAATAAGCAACCTGCTCTAACTGCCATTTCATATCAACTCCAGCAGAGTTTATTTAAAAATGAAGTTAAAAACTCTAGAGAAATAAAATTTTTGCTAGAACGTTATAAGCTATTTGAGAATCTCTTATTGTTAAAATGGCTGTGAATGTGCAAGAGGATATGGGATGAGAAACACTGTATGTTCTGAGAAGAGAAAATTATCTACTTAAAAGTATTTTAAAAACAAGTACAGATAAATTTATAGTTCTAGAAGATATATTAGCCATCAGTGATTTCATCAACTCTCAATGAAATGTTGTATCATCAGAAACAAGGTATTCTGTTTTAAAAATTTTTAAATGTTATTACAGAGGGGTCATGTAAACAATAATGATGATAACATGCATGGAGAGCCTACCTACGTATCAAATGGTACCAGCCCAGACTGTTGGGATAAAAGTGGAAAGCAGCCACAAAGTTGACTAGGGAAGGGTGAAGTCTGTATTTCTTGTTTCTGTCTTTATAGTTGTTGACTTCTTTGACACTGTGATTTTATATTTAAAATAATGTATTTATTTTGGTGTGTTTACTGTTAAAAATCTCTGTTCTAATCCTTTGACCAGAGATTCTACCTTAAAAGTAAAAATAATTTAATGGGGTGTTGGTTAAGAGCCTTCACTAAAACTGAGTTTAAAGACTCAGGTAAAGATCCTAGCAACACCCCAAGAAAAGCACTGCATTGGAAAAAACAAGATGAAGAAGTAAAACTTGAACAGCTCCATCTTCACTGCTCTGTGTTCAAGGCTTACCTAGCCCTCAAAAGGGATATAAGGCTTACCTATAAACATTATTTCACCTATGGATGGTGATATAGGAGGCCTGAAATTTTCCTGGCTGTGAAATCATGGTCACTTGCTTAAATTTTGGGGATTTCCATTTCCTTCTCTGTAGAATGAGGGTGTTGGACTGAATCTCTAAGGTCTATTCTGTCTTTTTTTAGAGCTTTATGTGTTTATGAGTTTCTAAAGTTCTGGATACTCTTATGGGAACATCTGACCATACTTTTGAGTAAAATTTTTACTGAATCTAATGTTCAGTTACACAATCATATTCAATAGCATTTGTAGCAACACTCACTGCAGGAACAAAAGAGATGTTCAAAAAAAAAAAAGAAGGAAGGAAGAAAAAGAAAGACAGAAAAACATTGCCAGTAGGTCACGGAAATTCAGGGAAAATTAATCACGATTTTTACTATTGTAGCTGAAAGTGTCTTTTTTGGACACTTGTATAAAATTGTAGCATTATTATTCTATATTATTGCTCTGTTGTATTTACATTTGCATCTGAGAATTTAGTTTTAATGCAAACTATGTACTTTATAACTTAATAATTATTTATTATATATTTGGTTTTAAATGTTTATGTTCATGGCTTCTTATTTAAGACTTGATCATATTAAATCATATTACTGTCTTTGTGATTCCCTGGAAACCCTTAATTCAATAGCCTTAGCATAAAATAAAAGATGATCCTCAGTTTCTGGGAGCATATTGTTTTTATATGTATATTACAAAGACAATCTTCTGTCTTTACATACTTCACTGAAATGGAACCTTCCACTCCTGTCTCTGCCTTAAGGATACCACTTCCTTTTGCAATTTTCCCAAATGTATGGCAAGTCCTGGAAGACTTGATTGTCCTCTCCTGGTCACTCCTTCATCTTTACTGCGGAGTTAGGCATGTTCTTTCCTTTGAATTCAACTTCTGCCATCATCTTGGGTAACTTCAGTACCCATGGGGAAGATTCCACCAACACTGCTACTTCCCAGAACCTTGACTACCTAAGTTCCAAACCCCTACATCTTTTATCCTGTCATCATCCCATTCCCATGGCCATGTGCCAGACTTTATTGTCTGGAACTATTTTCCGTGTGAAATCCTTACATATACAAAGCCATCACCTGCTAGTCTCTTAGTTCTCAAGACATCCATCTCAAGATCCCATCACAACAGCCAGGCCTTTGCCCCTTCCCATTCTCTCAGTTTATTAATTCCCCTTGGCCCCCAGCCTCCACCCCACCCCCAGAGCTTAGGCCTCTGATCAGTCCCTTGAACTTCAGACCTAGCAATCTTCTCAAGTAGCTGCCTACAAACTCCCTACCTAGCTGTTTTGATCTTGGTCTCCTATTCCAGCTTCAGACACAAGATCTGGCCCCTCGGGCGCCTGGGTGGCTCAGTCATTAAGCGTCTGCCTTCAGCTCAGGTCATGATCCCAGGGTCCTGGCATCGAGCCCCGCATCGGGCTCCCTGCTCCACAGGAAGCCTGCTTCTCCCTCTCCCACTCCCCCTGCTTGTGTTCCCTCTCTCGCTGTGTCTCTGTCAAATAAATAAATAAAATCTTTAAAAAAAAAAGATCTGGCCCCTCATCTTTGGGAACAATTTCAGACTTCCCTACCTGGCTCACTAGAGTTACTTTCCCACTTCATGCCTACTTCTGAACACTCATCTGCTTTCAGTATCTGCCTCCACCTATTCTAGTCCACAGGTTAGTCCAGGAATAGCCTCACCTCATGAGGAGGGAGGGATTTGGAATTCACAGTTAAGCTCATTGAAAGAGTAATCTCTACATGTGCCTAGACTCCCTCAACTTCATTCATTCATTCATTAAATCACTATAATCTGATTTCTAACATCCTACACTCTATCACTGTATCAAAATTGCCCTTTGTCAGGTTAATGATGACCTTCAAATAACCCAACTCATAAATGTGTCTAAATCCTTACCTTACTTGATTTTATCATGACTTTTGCTAACTTTATTCCTTCTACGACTCTGGAGGGCCCTCCTCCTCCTAGTTCTTGGCTTGCCTCTCTTACCACACGTTCTCAGTGTCAGTTCTTGGTTGGCTTTCCTGTATCCTCCCATTAGAAGTTGATATTCCTAAGGATTCTGTCCTGGTCACCTTTTCACTTTAAACCTCTTCCCTCAATAGTCCAATGGGTTCTTGGTGTTTTAAAAAACCCTCTCTATGTTGTTGAACCACAAATCTATAGGTAAAGGCCAGATCTCTCTGATGATTCCCAGGCCCCTATATCCAACTTCTCCCTGAAAATTTCCATCTTTATCCTCCAGGCCCATCATCTGAACATGCCAAAATTGATCTCATCACTGTTTCCCACTTCCATGACCTCTCTATTTTTCAGTGTTCCCTAATCTTTTTTTTTTTTTTAAGATTTTATTTATTTGACAGAGAGAGACACAGCGAGAGAGGGAACACAAGCAGGGGGAGTGGAGGAGGGAGAAGCAGGCTTCCCGCGGAGCAGGGAGTCCTATGTGGGGCTCGATCCCAGGACCCTGGGATCCTGACCTGAGCCGAAGGCAGCTGCCCAACTGACTGAGCCACCCAGGTGCCCCAGTGTTCCCTAATCTTAATGGGAATGTATCTCCAGCCTCCCAGACTCTGCCTTCTCTCTCATTCACTATAACCAATTGGTCATTGGGCCCTGGTATTTCTATCTCTTAAGTACATCCTTTCTTTTCTACTCCCTCTGCCATCATCTTAATGCAGGCTTTCAGCAATGGTTATAACTTTTAATTGAGTTTCTGGCCTCTTGCCTTCTCGTCTTTCCAATCTATCTCTGCATGGTTACAGGAGTATCTTTTAAATTGTAACTCTGGGGGCGCCTGGGTGGCTCAGTCGGTTAAGCGTCTGCCTTCGGCTCAGGTCATGATCCCAGGGTCCTGGGATCGAGCCCCGCATCGGGCTCCCTGCTCCCGCTCAGCGGGAAACCTCCTTCTCCCTCTCCCACTCCCCCTGCTTGTGTTCCCTCTCTTGCTGTGTCTCTATCAGATAAATAAATAAAGTCTTTAAAAAGAAATGTAACCCTGATTAATCACAGTTTCTCCTTATTTAAAGCCCTTCACTGGTTCTTCTCTGGAGTAAAGCCCAGGCCTAAAGCTAGGCATGTAAGACCCTTTTTCATCTGCTCCACTCAGTTCCCAGCCTCTCTTCACCTTGAACTTCAAAATTCCAGCCAGTCTAATCTGCTTCTAGTTCCCTGGACACGCCATGTTGTTTTATTCTTCTGTTTCTTTGCACTTGCAGTGTCCTCTCCCTGGAATATCACTCCTCAACACCCAGAAAAATCCTCATGCATCTGTCCATATTCAACTGAGTCATCACTTCCTCCAGAAGGATTTCCATCACCATCTTACTCTATCTCTGTGACAATGTTGATCTCTTCCCACTTTTAGACTTGATCATATTTTGGCTGTTAGTTTTAATGTGGTATACACACATTTATTGAATGATAGATACATCTGTTTCCCTTTCCAGAACATAAGCGTCTTTGGTAGAAGGAACTGCATCTTGCTAGCACAGTGCCTTACACATAGTAGATAACATATAGTAAGAAACAAATGTTTACAAAATTGAACTGAACCAAATACAAAATGCACAATTATGCATTGAAATTTTCCCTCACATCTCTCTTTCTCTTACTGATTGAATCCAATTATCAGTAAAGCCAGTCAACTGTTTTCAAAATATCTCTAGAAGCCAACCACCTGTCACTATCTCCAGATTCCACTCCACTCTCACTTAGATGATTGTAATACTTTCCTAAATAGTTTTCCTGATTTTTGTTCTTGTACCTCACCAAAATCTACTTGCAACAAGCAACTTGAATGATCTTTTAAAACACCAGAATATGTTACCCTTAGCCCAAAACCTTCTAATGGCTCCCACCTCATTCAGGATAAAGCCTGAGTCCTACAACAAGGGCTACATGGTCATGTCCCCTCAACCTCTCACCTCTCTAACCTCATTTTCACTCTTCTTATTCAACTCAAGCCACACTGGCACTCTTTCCTGTCTCCAACACTCCAAGAACACTTCCACCTACGGCAGTTGCATTTTTTGTTTCCTCTGTTTGGAATGCTCTCCTGCCAAATGTCCACATGGTCCATTCCCTCCCCTCCTTCATGTCCTTCCTCAACCAGGTCTTCTCTGACTACTATCAGGTAGTCCATTCTCTTTTAAATTGCAACTCTCCTAAATACCACTGCTTTATTTTTCTCTATAGCACTTACCATCCTCAACATATATATTTTAATAATGTATGTGTTTATTGTCTCTGTCTCCCACCAGAATGTTAGCTCAGTATGGGCAGAGATTTTTGTTTGTTTTGTTCACTGCTATATAACTGGCACCTAAAACAATGCCTTGAACATAGAATGAGATCATGAAAAATTTGCAGAAAGAATTGGGTTCTATAATAGCTGGCACTGGAGTTCTCCCATAGGGTTTTAATTCCCAATACATAGTTTGCTTTTTCTTTATGATGCAAGTCAGGTACTATTGAATTTTTTCTTTTATAGCTTCTCCGTGATCTCTGGGTACTTTGTATCTTCTGAAAATTTATCCTCATCCTCTTATCGAATGTGATCACACCTCTTCTATATTTTCCAAATGATATTCCTTCTCCCTTTATAAAAATAGAAAATTCAAAGCATCCATACAACCACTGTGAGTCTCTAAAAATGTCTTTCTTCTACCTTTATTCATAATAAAATATTATTTTCAAGAAAGCTTCTTGTATGGTACAAATTATTTTATTTTTTTTTAGTTTTCCTTTATTTATTCATTCTGAATGAGATGGTAAAGTGCTCTGGAGAAAGAAAAGCAGAGAAAGGGGATGGGTGGGGGGCATGTGTGGGGCAGATGAGGAGAAAAACAGTTTTTTAAAAGATTTATTTATTTTTTGAGAGAGAGAGAAAAAGAGAGTGGGGGAGGGGCAGAGGGAGTCCTTCCTGAGTGTGGAGCCCGATGAAGGGCTTGATCTCAAGACCCATGAGATCATGACCTGAGCCAAAACCAAGAGTGGGACGCCCAACTGACTGAGCTACCCAGTAGCTCCTGAGGAGAATAGTTTTAAGTAGAATGAAAACCTACATCCAGTGGGATCTTTTGTTACTTCCAGTGAGTTTAAGTGAGGAATACTACAAAGGTGAGCAGCAGTCACATGAAAGAGAATTCTTTGAGGTACAGTGTTGAAACAGAATTAGTTCAAATGAATCATCTAACAAATGTCAATAAATTAGCAAGTGGTTTTCGGTCCTGGCATGCATTATAGTCATCTTTAGAGCTT